GTGCAAAAATATACAAAATTAAAGCTTGGGTACAGCACACTCTCCCCCGGGACGTCCTATAGACGTCAAACAGTTTGTTGATGACAAAGACCAAAGTATCTGCTCAATCTGCTTCAATTAACAGAACCAACTCACGCACAGGTCTCCAGTACGTTTTGCCTGTTGATGACAAACGAACGTGCACCTCTTGAACCAACCCATCATCTCCAGGACTAACACTATCAACAATCCCCAATGGTCACCAGTTCCTACTGACGTCCTTATCCCTCAACAACACTATGTCTCCAGCAGCCATATTCCTTTCCGAGCTGATCCTTTTACGCCTCTGCTGAAGACTCTGGAGGTAGCGGAGTCTCCACTGTTTCCAGAAACGGTCAGCGAGAATCTGCACCATCTTCCACTGAGCTGTGTACATGTTGGAAGTACAATCTTCGATGACTACCTCCTCAACACTCCTGTGTTTCTGAGTCAACAGCATTGATGGTGTGAGAAACGAAATGTCTTCTGGATCAGAGCTCAATGGGACGAGAGGTCGAGCGTTGACTATAGCCATAACCTCAGCCATGAAGGTTACTAACATTTCATGAGTAAGACTTCGGTGCTTGGTCTCGAGCAGGATGCCGTTGAGAATCCTCTTGGTCACACCAATCAATCTCTCCCAAGCTCCTCCCATGTGAGGGGCGTGGGGAGGATTCAGCTTCCACTCTGTGTTGCTCTTCTCCAGATAAGACTGGAAGAGCTTGTAATTCATCACTCCAACAAAGTTTGACCCCCGGCCAGACCAGAACACTTGAACTTTGCCTCGCAGGGCTGTAAATCGTCGTAATGCATTGATGCATGATGACGTGCTCAATTCCTCAAGAACTTCGATATGAAAGGCCCTTGAAGTGAGACATGAGAATATCATTCCCATTCTTTTGCTTTGAGCGACGCCGCCTCGGGTTCTTCTGGTGACCACCTCCCAAGATCCGAAGCAGTCGACACCAACCTGTGAGAAAGGAGGGCCAGGTTTCAGACGTTCCTCTGGGAGATCTGCCATACGCTGTAACACCAATCTTCCTCTGAGCTTTCGACAGACCACACAATGATAAATGACAGATGATACCACTCTCTTGCACCCAGTTATCCAGAAGCCAGCCTCGCGCAGAGAACCCTCTGTCATCTGCCTACCGGGATGTCCAACACTGTGATAGTGTAGGATGAGAAGCCTAGCAATGTGACTCTTTCCTGGAATCAGTACCGGATGCTTCAGCACCACTGGGAGGGAAGAATTCCTCAAGCCCCCACCAACACAAATCAGCCAATCTGGGTTGAGCATTGGTGACAAGTCTTGGAGTGGAGATCCACGTGGTAGGGATGCACCTTTGTGTAGGCAGCTAAGCTCTTTCTGATAGAACTGCTCCTGTACCATCCGTATGATCATTGTTTGGACATCATGTTTGAGCTTCACACCCTTAGGCTGGCACTGGGTGTTTTCATTTCTTGCATGGAAGGACCTAGCCACGTGGACTAGTAGACTGAAAGCTCTTACCAAGCTGGTCCAGGTTGAAAACCTTTCAACTTGTGCAGCAATATCTGCAGGCCCCACCGTGGTTTTTGTGACATGAACTTTCACCTCTTGTCTTATTTCGGTGTCGTCCTCAGGGTTTACCAATGGAAATTTTGATGTCACTATCTCTGTTAGTACCAGCACTGGCTGCGGGGGACCTGTGAGCCAAGGGGAACTCTTCAAATTCCA